TCTGATATTTTCTTAGCTGTTACCTTAAGCATCAAAATTCTATATTTCCCCCTCTCTCATATTTATTCATTGCTCCATCTATTTCTCATAAACTGTTTTTTTTTTTTTTTGGTCATGATAATTAGACACGGTCTAAGAGGTTCTTGGAGATTCAAAAATTAAGAGAAATCAAGAAAGAGTATGACTTGAAAACAGCTATAGAACTGCTCAAAACAACAGCTAGCACAAAGTTTACTGAAACAGCTGAAGCCCATTTCCGTCTCAATATTGACCCAAAATACAATGATCAGCAGCTTAGGGCAACTGTAAGTTTTCATTCATCATCATTACATACTTCAGAGTTTCTATCGCGTGTTTAGTGGTGTGATTAGTGTCTCCAANAAGTTTCTATCGCGTGTTTAGTGGTATGATTAGTATCTCCAATTGTGACGACTTCTTTATTTCAGGTTAATTTGCCCAAGGGAACAGGTCAAACTGTTAAAGTGGCTGTTCTTACCCAAGGTACTTCCTTAAGATATATATTGTGTGAATTTATCTTGATAGTAAGCCAATAGATTGATCTTCAGTTTTAAAGATTGTGTCACTAATGCCCCGAAAGCAAGGCATACTTTTTGAAAGCTATAAGGAAAAGTTGGCATCTGAATTATAATATATTGCCTGCAGTCACTGGCATCATCTCTCATCTTTAAGGGAATATACTGCACTGTAAATATGTTCTCATATGTCTGAACTTTATCCTTCTATCAATGCCCATTGGAAAAGTCAACTCTGGTTCTTCCTAGACTATGAAAGACAATCTTCCAATGTACTTTTACGTTCCTATTCCATTCTTCCTGTCCTTTTTCCTCGGGAATGTGAAACTGTTCACCTCAGTAATCGTATCGTCTTCTCTTTTTCATTGAAACTACTACTTTTCTCCAGCAAATGGTTCTGCACTCCTCTTTCAATTTGTAGATATTATTTCAATCTGTAAAAGTAGTGCTCAAAGGCGCACCTGATGAACAACTCATTTGTGAAGCTTCAAGCTGCATATGATGCATTACCTAATGTACTAATCTTGATCTGCTTGAAATGAAACATTGATTTTAGTTTGGCCATGCTTTATTTACTTAAAGAAGTGTAATACAATATTTTTTACCAATGATATCTTGATGAAGCTATTGTCTTTCATGCTTCTCTCTTTGATCTTGAAGCTTTGCTCCTTCCTCAAATTGCAAACCAATTAGTAGTTTCCACCCCTTGAGTGCAGTGAAATTTTGCGTTACGTCACTTACCCTGTGTAGAAGTCCTCTCTATTTGGAAAAGGAGGCACCTGCCTCAAGATACTACGAGATCATCATACAGAGAGACATGGTAAAAATAAATGAAACAAAAGACTCCAATGAGGTATTCTAAAAAAAGATGAATACTTGTGGTCTTCCTTTTCCAGTGCGATTGTTTTGTCTAGTTTTTAGTGACCCTACCTACTGAATGCACTATGCTAGGCTCTTTTAGCATTTGCGATGTGGTCAAATGGTAGTTATAGACTGTTCTGGTCTTGAAATATTTCTTTGGAATTGTAGTCTCTATTTTGTACGCTAATTGTGTTGCACCTAAAATTCTACAGGTGAAAAGTTCGATGAAGCAAAAAATGCAGGAGCTGATCTAGTGGGTGGAGAGGATTTGATAGAACAAATAAAGGGAGGATTTATGGATTTTGACAAATTGATTGCGACACCAGATATGATGCCTAAGGTGTTTCTCTAGTCTTTGCTAAGATAACAGTGTGACTTGCCTTTTGTGTTCAATTTGGTCTCTCTTTTCATCTTTATACTTTCTTCGAAAACCAGCCTACAAACTCTTGTCTCTTGGTTTTGAGAATTTAATATTGAAGTGTCCACTACAGTCTTAAGAGTGACTGTCCTGAACCAACTCATATGGCTTGGTGAAAAGCTCTCAGCTGTCGTTTCCTTTTCTTCTGAAAACTTCTCTGATAAGTTGTTTTGGTTGAATGAAACATAATTTTGTTAAATTTTCATAGAAGCTTCTGTTACTCGCAGTCTTTCTCCATCCTTCGGTGTACCTTTTTTTCATACCTTTTGCTAAGTTGGTGCTCATAAAATTCATCAAACTCAAAATCTGTCTAGTTATCAGAGCACATGTTTTCTAAGCAAACCTTCTTTCTTTAAAAAGTTAATTTTAAATTTTCATATTTTTACATTGTACTCAACTTCTTTATGCTTCATGCGAACATATTTCACACAGTATGCTTGAATGATTTATGGTCCCTCTTGTTCTGTCATAGATCTAGTAATGCTGCAGGATGGAGGGCCATAGTGACCCTAGCTTAAGCTGAGTGATCAATCATATAGGCTCCCCAGCCCCTCTTTTCATTTTAAGGCTGCCGGATAGCTGATGTAAAAAGTTGCATCTCTTTAAGTTACTTTTGTGTCAAAACATTTTTTTTTATTTTAATCCTGAACATATCTGCGGCTCATTTTGCGTTATTCTTTTGTGGATTCATATTAATACATTCTCTATCATTTGCGACAGGTCGCTAGCTTAGGTAGGATTCTGGGACCTAGGGGACTCATGCCGAACCCAAAAGCTGGTACTGTCACTGCAAATATACCTCAGGTGAAGTGTCAGTATTTTCTGCTTGTGGAAAAAGTTAATCAGAACACTGTCTTTTTATGTTCAACTTTCTCGTTGTAGAATGGAATAATGCCTAGATCTTTCTATAAAATGAAAAATGGAAAAGTGCATATATGCTAGCTGAAGTCATTCAGAGTTACAAAATGCAAAACAATGTAATTAGTGAGTAGGCTGATGATTTGCTTATTGAACCATTTTTCAAGCATGTAAATTGATTAATATTTCTTCCAGGCTATCGAAGAATTCAAAAAGGGTAAAGTAGAATACCGAGCAGATAAAACTGGAATTGTTCACTTACCATTTGGGAAAGCAAATTTCTCGGAAGAAGATCTTATCATAAACTTCATCGCTGCAGTGGTATGTTTTATGCTTACCTTCTACCAGAGTGGTTGAAATGTTACCATTGATATGTATAAAATTCATTCAACTGCATTTCTTTGAATAACAGAAATCAATAGAAGCAAATAAACCATCAGGTGCAAAAGGAGTTTACTGGAAGAGTGCACATGTATGTTCATCGATGGGGCCATCCATTCGGTTAAATGTAAGGGAGATGCTTGAGTACAAGCTTCCGAATGCTTAATTGACCTGCACATGTATATTGCACCTTCTGTCATCTACCTAGCTTCTTCGGTGCCTTAACTGAGCTTCCATTTGAGAGGGCTAGGATACAGAGTAGGTGGAATTCGAGAGGAGATTCAATGCCATATTGTCAATATTTCCGCGGAAGCTTTTTTAGGCCCAGTTGCTAAAAAAGTATTCTTGTTTGACAATGCCAATTTTATGCTCAATTTAATTCTATGTAGGTGCTAATGTATATCATGCTATAATTCGCAAAAGGGTGAAGCTAAGTCAAATTCAGAGGTTTCCTACAATGCAAGATTCTTATTTATGGTCATGTCTGAGTTTGTCCCAACAGTTGATGGGGGTGAATAAACCTGATAGTTTCAGTATTTTGTTACTTATATCAAGGAGAAGAAAAAGTCGGACTATTTTCTGGTCCATATAAGACATTATAGCCCAATCACATAGTCGTCCCAATTTGTATTGGAGCCAACTCAGTTGGTGAGCACCCTGCCTTGCCTTTCGCATTGTACGCGAAAAGTATTTTGTTGCCTTTCGCATTTTGTAACCTCTTTTTTTTTTTTTTTTTGATAATT